ATCAACATTGTTGTCAATCATGACAGTGGAAGAATATATTCGTTAGATTATGTAATAACATGTCAATGTTGATATGTTTTTTTGCTGGGGGTCATCTGGGTCTAGTGACTGTATTATTGAGGGTCTATTTTTTCCCTTTGAAGGGTGCGCGATAGACTTACCTCCACGTGATGCACCCTGGGCAACGTATTCTCATACGGTAAAAAGTCTATTAACCAGCAGTTGACTTCTCACTTCAAATTACCATGACCCCACTGCATGCCATATTCTACAACTTCCAGAGTACTCATCCTACCTTTTCTCTGCCTTTGTGTCTGTCTCTTTTACATCCGTAAATCACTCTTCTGTCCCCTACCCCTCGACTGTCTGTTACTTTGATGTTCCTTCCCCCTGTGAAGCCCGAAGTCAACTAAAGGGCTAATGATAACTATCAAAACGCCTGCCATTTGAAATAAATAAATTATTTCTCTTTAATGTTTATTCGCAGCATTAAAGATTTGCTGCTGCTACTACTATTATTCACGTATTGCCAAATTGTTTGAGTTTATAAATATTCAACAATTAGCACATTAATTATGCTGCATCGCCGTTTGAACTATACCATAAATTGTTGGAATAGGACTTTTGAAACCGATCGATTTTTTGTCGTGCTCTGAACGTGATATTGCTGAAGGCTCCCTTTCATAATGATTGCGGCAAGATGCCCCAATAAGATAAGTTGGATAACATAAAATTTGGACCAAATTTTAAGGAAGTTTTAATTTAATTATCAGACAAAGTGTTTAAATGCATAGGAGTTTAATTATATTTTTTTTTAAACTGACATAAATATAGAAAGAATTGAATTTGAAAAGAATGTTAGCTTCCTAAAAAATATAGCGGACTGAGGATATGACACTTGAATTTTATTTCTTATCTTCGGCGACATTTAAACATTGCATATAAACAAACGTCATTTCTCTAACTACCGATATCTAGCTTCAAATTTCAGAGATAAGAATCTGACCAAGAAATACTTTCTACTCAGATTAGCTCAGTAGAAAGACCAATAAAAATCTGAATTTTGACAAGCTAGAAATGTTAAGAAATACGATTTATTGGTGCTAAGATTGCCTATCATTATGGATAATATCAGAAATCGTCATATAATTAAAATTAGAAAAATATTCAACCAAATAATTCATGTTGTGCTTTGCTTTAATAATTCACACAGTGAAATTTGAATTTACATCAATCCATTTACCATAAAGAATGTCTAGATTGAACATTATTTCAAAAGTGTTATTTTCTAATATTTGCTATTTATTAATGGATGTATAAATGTATCAAGAAATAACTAGTAATAAACTTAAATAGTTTATCATTTCGGCGCAATTAACTTGATATCCATATATGAACATTGGTAATTGTTGAAATATTAATTTTATGCCTTTAAACTTATCTTTCCCTTCAAAACAATTATCTGCTTACATTTCGAAGATAATATGGAGGCTTTTGGTTAGTACATTAAAGAATTTTGTTGATAATGGTAGTCTTTTCAAACATATTCACTTATTGTGTGGATTAACTGGGTTAATGAACGTTCAGGAATACAGCGGATAGTAGAACAGGTTATATTGTTCTAGATTTTGATCACTTCTTAATTAACTCACAAATAAATTGACGAATACAATCAATATCGTCTTAGAAACTGGTGTTTTATTCAAATCGAATTTGGTCATTTTAACATCGCTCTTCAAAAGCCTCGTAAAATGATTCCCTACTAATAAATTATAAGTAAACAACATACCTTCGAATCTGACGTTGCCATCCCGATCAATGTTGATTTTGGTCGCTTTTATAATATTGTCCACTTGTTCATCAGATAATCTCTCGCCATAGCTAGTAAGAACAGCCCGAAGCTCAGCAGCAGTGATGAAACCTTGGCCTTCCCGATCGAAAGTCTTGAAGGCTTCCATGAAATCGGCAAATGTTCCTTCCTCTTTCTCCTTAAGAATCGATTGATAGATGGGTAGGAATTCATCGAACTTATACTGCTTCTCCCCTATTAAAAATACAGCGCGTAAAGTAAATCAGATTCAAAAAAAGATTAATTCACTGGGATTAAGATTTTTTCCGGAATCACCGCAATCATTGAATACGTGAAATTAAAAGGGCTAATTTGAAAGATTTTAATCTTAGTACAATGTAGAAATCAACATTCCATATGTACGCGACAAATTTCTCCATATATCAATAAATAATCGCGTTTTTTTTCAGTTAAGAAAACATTCTTATCGTCTTGAGTTGGTGGAGTCCATTCTCAAAGATGGTAACCCTCTAAAATTCTCTGTTTAAAATATCAAACTCATCTTGCTCCTTCGGAAACAAAGAAATTTCATTCAAAATGCAGATCAGCTTCCCACTCTTATAAGTTTGCTGCTTATATATGGTCAATGGTCATTTTTTATCTCATATAGTACATGTGACTATTGTGACTGAAAAGGTCAGAAGTGGATAATTGATACCTAGCAGAATTTCCTTTTTTATGTACATTTGTGTGACTTGTTTAGAATACATCAGTAATATTTACACTCTGTGAACCACTCTGAGGTACCACTGATCGAGAATTTGGGCACAATATCTCTTATGGGGGAGAAAGTGTAAACGTTGTTCTTTTCACTAACTTCTCTGTTTCCATTTAAGTAGGCTATGCAACTCTAATTTTATTACCCAACTCGTGACTTTTTTCAAATTTACAATAAAAAATAATTTGGATTAACTAATATAGTACCTATTTATTAGCTAATATTACTAATTTTCAATTCTATTTACCGACATGTCAAAAAAATTTTTTTCGGAAAATTTGAAATTTCCCCGACGTATTAGTAGTTTAATCATTTGTAAAAATTACTAAATCTGGTAAGCGTGTTACCAGCGCAGAAATCCCATAATGACCTTTTCACCTTGCATGTGACCTTAGCCAGCTAGAAGAGCTTATACCACAAGCTTCCGCAAGGGGGGGGGGAGAGAGAACATATCTGATAAGGCACCTGACAAGATCGACCGTGAATTCAGGCCAACACGCGCTTTCGACGAAAGGTTTGTCAAGTAAACTAGCACAACACTTCTTGCTTCTGCATTCTTAACTGGCATTCCAAACTAGAAAATGGAAGTAGTTCTCGCGTTATCACGAAAGCTAATGATGGTCCTCTTCATTAAAGGGTAGGCAATGAACGTGAATGAGTTAGAAACTACTTATAGCACACCGTTTATGCGGTTACTTACCGGGTTTTTTGGTGGCTCCATGTTTAAGACAAACTGCAATGGTAGGATTCATGTCTGCACATCGCAAGACATCAGGAACCTTGACAGCATCCATCAAACCATCACGGCCATCCCAGAAATCGAACAAATCGAACACTTCTTGAATGTCTAAATTTAAGAAATTAAGTTAACCGCCTCAATTCCTAGTCGCCTAACCTTCAATTTCAGCTCTAGATAGACCAGCCTAAAGAGGCAAGGTTATTAGTTTAATCCTGAAGACTGGATGGGTAACTTACCATGTTAGTATTGAAATGTCACTACTTTGCTGAAAATTGAAGAAAATGACGTACAAGATTCCGGATAGGTAAAGAGATGGGATATCACCGCGGTATTTATACTCTAGTTCTGATGCGCTGGTGCCATGGCTAGGAGCCAACCAGAAGCCGAGTTTTTCGCTCCGCCTACCTTCACCACGGGAGGTGTGGTCTAAAATCAGCCATTTAAAAGTGTGAGAGGGAGGGTTGGTGGGGAGGGGGGGGGGGAAAGGTGCTAAAGATTTCCATCTTTCAGAGACCAATGGTATATGCTGCGATGATTAACCTGATAAACCAACTCTGACCATAAAAGACGATTTTTCGCTGAACCGTGTGTGTGTGCTGACACATAAACTGTCACAACTGTGGGTTTTAGGAGTTTTGTTTGTAGAGTAAATTAAAGCTTGCCAAGCCAGTAGCGGAAATTAAGAGTTAGGCAGAGTTAGAATCTATTTTCTAAATTAAATCAACTTTGTTGGGACAATGTTATCGATTTTGACTAATTTTACTAATTTGTTGTAGATTTTGTTATTTATCAAAGCCTATTTTGCTATTTATTGACGGGTGCAACCAAATTGATGAAGATAGTATTGTGAAATACTTTTTTCAGTGCTTTAGCCTTTGTTTAAAACTGAATTTATGCACAGTTAGACAATAAAATTTTAGAAATTTCTGATATGGATGGTGATAGGATCAACTGGGTTGGATAAAAAATATTTCTTTGAATTCAATAGCTCCAATCCTAAGTTGCTTAATTCCACGTTTGAACCTAAGAGCCGCTTTAAATCTTCTTCTATTCCCTCTGAAGCGTCTAGGTTAACGGTGTGGCCAATATTTCCGCTAGATCTTCTGTGTCTGGGAGCTCTATGACAACGAAAGAACATTTGTATATATATATATATATAATTATTTTCTGAAAGTTTTATTTAGCGATAAAATTAATTTTTTCTCAAGCATTTAATGACTTTGAAAGGCTAACAAGTCAAAGCGAATTTTTTTGAGATCATTAGAGGATGCCAATTCAACATTTTAAAAATTTAATTTGGAGATGGTAAAGTCATTGATTTGTAGGCATGGTAAAACATTACCGTGATTTCAAACAAAATCCAAACTTAGCTTCTCTTTTATTTTCTTAAATGAAAGAAACCTTTTTTTATAAAAAATTCACAATGTATCAACTTATTAAGAAGTCTTCAATTAACTTTTACGTAAATACTGATATTTGAATCGATTTATCTTTTAAATAATAATGTTAATTAATAATACTAATATAGTTTTGATTGCCCACATGCACTAAGGAATATTTTATTAGCCTATATCCTAGTCTGCCAGATATTATTTTGACTTAGGTGAGATAGGTTTCATTAAATTGCTTTTCGCTAAGTTACCTTACATCAACAAACATCATTGTGGCCATTAAGAACAGCCGATTTGTTATCTTCAGCCATAAATGCTTGTTTGTTTCATATTGGACAAATACAGAGATATTTGTTAACGCGTGAAAAGCAAAAACACTATTTGTGCCTGCAATCTTAAAATTCCCTCTTCTAAGGGAATTTCCAGCCCAATATCACTTAATCTAAACTTTGGCCAAACAAACTCTATGCAATTCAATTGCATCGATCGCCACTTCATGTTTTCTTGAAGTCTGTACATCCACTGCTAATCGTTTTATACGAAATTTAGACCACAAATGCAGCACTTTGATGCTAATACTGAAAATATGTCAACAAATTAGTCAACTGCACATTCTTCTGCATCTTATAGATGTTCATGAAAATATATTTCCCTCATTACAGTACATATTTGTATTTTAGCTACCATGGGGGCCGTTTTATTTAACTAAGTTAAAAAATTTCTCTTAAGCACTTTACCAATTAATTCTCTAGCCCATTTTATGAGGGAAACAAGTTCAACCCTCATGCAAAGTCTCCCATCTTCTCTGTTAGCCGGACTTAATCAATGCCTCTAGTCATTCTGATAACTGGGTGTATGTGTTGGGTACGGCTATAGCGATCTATGCAAAATAACATTTTATAAAAAAGCTGAGGTATAAGTGGTCCGATTATTCATCATTCTGGTCTCGATGAACTGGCTTAACGACAATGTTTGTGCCTTTTCATCTTTTTTTCTAAGGAGTAAGTAGACACCAAAGAATATTGCTCTGGTTGACTGTAGTAGTTATAGAGGTAAATCATATTACAATATGAGAAAAAATGATTAGAAATATTAAATAATTTAACTTCAAACTGTCAAATTTCTTCCATAGTAGCTCTAATGAGAGACTAATAAATTCATTTATTCAGATTTCGCACCGAGGTTGCAAATACGACGAAAGAATGTGCTGTTTTATCTTCTAAGGCATTAAAATAAGGAGCTCTGCAAGTTTGGGTATTTGATTTTCATCATTCACCCCGGGCAACGTATACTCATACGGTAAAATAGTCTATTAACTGGCAGTTGACTTCTCACTTCAAACTACCATCACCCCACTGTATGTCATATTCGACCCCTTTCACAGTACTCACTTTACCTTTTTCTCTACCTTTGTGTCTGTCTGTCTCTTATGCATCTGTGAATCGCTCTTCTTTACCGCTGTCGAATTTTTCTCACTTACATGTTCCTCCCTTCCGTGAAGCCTGAAGTCAGCTAAAGAGATAATGATAACTATCAAAATGTCTTCCATTTGAAAAAAATATATTTATGAAAATATGGGCTATATATACACATTCTTTGTCCACCTGCTGGATGTAACGAAATCTTGTTGAATAACTATAATATATATTAAGTTTTTCTAAGCAGGTGGTGAGAGGACTGATACATATGCATGAAAGGATATCCGGATACGGTGCCAAATGATTTCACTAATCTAATTTTGTCCTTAATTCCATCATTTAAAAAAGGACAGCTTTCACTTACGCCACATAACCTTAAAGTTTAGCAATTATGTCAGAAATATATAATTTTCTAGCGAAAAAATTTAAAATGGAATATTTATATTTATTATTGGTAGCATTGACATTCACCAATAATAATTAAGAAGAGACACGTGGACTGGACAGAGGGGGGGGGAGAGAAATCGTGATTCGAGGTCATGAAAACAAATTATTTCTAGCCTCTCTAATGTTTTCTCCATATGAAAACAATAGACCATAATTTATTTCCCATAATATATATTTGCGTCAGGCAAGGTTGACTAATCTTGGCGGATTTTCAGTATATGGAGCCTAGAGAACTCCTCAAAAAATCAAGAATCTGTAGGGTTAATACACTGGCACATACCTTTTCGCTTCCGGGGCGTGCGATAGACTTACCTCCACTTGGTGCACCCTGGGCAACGTATACTCATACGGCAAAAATGTCTATCAACTGGCAGCTGATTTCTGACTTCAAACTACCATGACCCCACTCTATGTCATATTCTACCACTTTCACAGTACTCACCTCACCTTTTTTCTACCTTTTATATCTTTGAAACATTCTTCTGTTCACCTCCCCCCTCTCGACTTTTTGTCACTTTGATGTTCCCCCTCCGCCTCTGTGAGGCCTGAAGTCAGCTAAATGGCTAATGATAACTATCAAAATGTCTGCCATTTGAGGTAAATAAATAAATACCTCAATTAGCAGGTTGTTCATCAGTGGACAAAGAACTCAATATCTACCTACCAGCCTCTAATACCCTAATAAATTCACCTTATAACTACCGACCAGACTAAAATTCTACCATTCGAAACAAATTAAAAAATGTTCAAAGAGCAGGATGAAGTAGATTTCAGAAGAAAACATCTGTATAAAGTGTAAGAAATCTGAAATTTCCGAGTGATTAAAAAGCGGAAAAGTGTAGAGCAAGGAGCTTTATGTGGATAAAAGTGCAATGAATGTTCACAATTTATGTAAATTCCCAGGCAAAAGTACAAATTGGAAAAGTCTCAAAATTTGACGGAAGGGGTTGGGGGGCGAAATAGTTTAAAATTATCTATTTTGGAATAAATCTTCAATGGTCTGATTGAATGAAAAGGTACGGCTTACCAATCAAAGCTCATCTTTCTGCGACAGAATAACTAACTAAGGTTATAACCACAAAAATATGCATTTATACGCAGAAAACTCAAATTCATGGATTGAATTAACATTACAGATTATACAAATTAAAATAAAAAAATAATTAAATTAAGTCGATATTAACATACAATGAATATTATTTATACTAAAACTTCTTACTTTTAATTTTAATTTTTATATTTCTCTTATTCAAGACGCTATCATTCATGGTCTTCTTTACTCTCGTCCCCCTCTGGAATAAATTATGCTAATCGAATACTAGTTCTGCTTAAAATAGCACTGACTGTGCTACTGATCACTAAGAAACATTAAAAATATGAAGTTAAAATACTGATTGGATGTTTTAAAATTTTAATTAAAATGATAAATAGCTTGACTAATTGAATGGGAACAGGACCTTTTGGTGTGGAAATTTTAAATTATTTGTATTAGTCATTGCAGTCAAATCGATGTCAAATTTCCGCAAATCGGTTATCTATTTTATAGTACATAGTTGTTTATTCGATCAGTATTATTATTATTAGCTTGCAGTAGCTGTCATGTGATGATTTGTTTTGTCAGATTGTTTTTCTCTTATTAGCCAAAAAACTGACTTTCTCCTAATAGGTGCTATCAATTAAATGACACTTTAATTTTGGTATTTAATTATTAACCATGTCCAGCTTGATTGTAAACTAGGAAGTTCTGTGCAATATAAAAAAGTTAGTTTTCTTCCTCAACTAGCATCCTATCTATTTGAAGAAAATAAACAAACTGGTCTTGTTTTTTATCAAAATTTGAAAGCCACCGTAAAGACAGGTGACGAGCCCCGAAATTACGCTATTAGTCACAAGCAACTGACTACATTCCAGGGTGAAATCTAAATCCAAGGCTTCACTTTTATAGCCTCTATTTTTTCTTGTATTTTCCGCGCTTGCTCTACT